TGTGAGCATAAATTGTGGGGAAGTAACAGGCGGGAGCCATTGTTGGTGTAGCTCGGTGGCTAGAGGCGCAAATTGAGGAAGACTTTCCCTGATAGAAAACCGGGTGCGAGCCCAGGGAAGGGCACAAAAATTGAAAACCACATACGTTATCGGAGGGCTCACAAAAAAGGCATTCTTCAGTAGTGAGAGTGCAACAACAACAGCAACAACAGCAACAGCAGCAGAAACTACTACTACTACTACGACGACTACTACTACTACTACTACTACTACTACTACGACTACTACTACTACTACTACTACTACTACTACTACTACTACTACTACTACGACTACGACTACGACTACGACTACGACTACGACTACGACTACGACTACGACTACGACTACGACTACGACTACGACTACGACTACGACTACGACTACTACTACTACTACTACTACTACTACTACTACTACTACTACTACTACTACTACTACTACTACTACTACTACTACTACTACTACTACTACTACTACTACTACTACTACTACTACTACTACTACTACTACTACTACTACTACTACTACTACTACTACTACTACTACCTACTACCTACTACCTACTACCTACTACCTACTACCTACTACCTACTACCTACTACCTACTACCTACGACCTACGACCTACTACCTACTACCTACTACGACTACTACGACTACTACTACTACTACTACTACTACTACTACTACTACTACTACTACTACTACTACTATGATTACTACGACTGCGACTGTTACTACGATTACTACTACTACGACGACGTGAACAACATCAACATTACTACGACGTCGCTAACAAAAAAACAACAACAACAGCAACAACGACAGCAGCAACAAAAACAACAAAAAACAACAACAACAACAAGAACAACAACAACAACCACAACAACAACAACAACAACAGCAACAACAACATCAACAACAACCATCACAACAACATCAATAACAACGACAACAACAACGACGACGACTGCGACGACGACGACGACGGTAACAACAACAAAAACAAAAACGACAACAACAACAACAACAACAACAACAACAACAACAACAACAACAACAACAACAATCATTTTAAGACTGATCGCTCTTACTGGCACGCGTGTCTTGCACTCCGTATACATCAACCTTTGATACCCGCCCACTTTGTCATCGATTGCATCCCCTTTGGGGGGAAGTCCCTTCCTTGTCGGCTACTGACTGAAGTGCGAGGAACTCTCGAGCGCGAGCGCCGTTCCTGAGTTCGGGGGCCTCTCTGGCCAGGGGCGCTCGGAATACCTATGGAGAAATATCGAACGGGAGCCCTTGTCGCCGTGTCCAGGCCTCCACCAACTTGCCTGAAGTATAAATGAAAATCTCGAGCGAGAGCGCCGTTCCTGAGTTCGGGGGCCTTCTTGGCCAGGGGCTCTCTGGGTAAATCGTTGGGAAATACCGAGCAGGAGCCCTTCTCGTCGTGGCTGGGCATCCGCCAACTTAATTGAATTGCGAGGAAGTCTCGAGCGAGAGCGCCGTTCCTGAATACGGGGGCCTCTCTGGCCAGAGTGTCTCGTGGTACATTGAGAGGAAGTATCGAGCGGGAGCCGTTGTTGTCGTAGCTGGGCCTCCAAGGGCCCACATTTAGGCTCAAGCCAACGCTCGAGCGGGAGCTTTGTTTTCAGAGAAAATGTAGCCGGCGTCGAGGCCAGAGCGCGCGGAACCGTTCAGCAACAGCAACAGCAACAGCAACAGCAACAACAACAACAACATCAACAACAACGTTGTGATTGTTTCACGACGCGAGGGGGTCTGGGTCCAGAGGCCTTCCGAATAACGCTCGAAGGCCCTCCCAGGGCGGCGCCGTGGCGGCTGGCAGCGGCCCGCGGCCGGCCGCCTCCTCCGCCTCCGCCAGCGGCGCGCGCCCGCCCCAGGCTCCGCCAGGTGGCGGCGGGCCGGGCGCCCACCGCGGCGCGGAGGGCGCCGGAAGCGAGCAGCGCGACCGAGGGGGGAGGATCGAGGAGGAGGGGGAGGGGGGGTCGACAAGCTAAGTGCGCTCGCGTCATATCTGACATCCTACCCCTCCCTCCCATCCCTTACCATGGCGCAGATCCCCTCTCTACTCGCACAGTCGGATGTCAAGCAGGGCGATGATCCCGAAAGGGTACGCGATGCATTGTAGAGCACGGCGTGGCATGACGTAGAAGAGCACCGCGAAGCGTAGTATCAACCTAGCATTGCATTGCATGCCGTGGCATGACACGGGAAATGACGCCAGCGCTGCAGCGGGAGCACGAGTCGAAACGAGCGGAAGCGCGGGGTCGAGGAGGAGGAGGAGGAGGAGGAGGAGGAGGAGGAAAGGAGGAGGAGGAGGAGGAGGAGGAGGAAGAGGAGGAGGAGGGGAAGGAGGAGGAGGAGGAGGAGGAGAAGGAGAAGGAGGCGGAGTAGGATGAGGAGGAGGAGGAGGACGAGATGATGATGATGATGATGATGATGATGATGATGATGATGATGATGATGATGATGATGATGATGATGATGGTGGTGGTGGTGGTGATGATGATGACGATGATGATAATGATGATGCTGATGCTGATGCTGATGACTGATGAGATGATGCTGATGATGATGATGATGATGCTGATGATGATGTGATGATGCTGATGCTGATGCTGATGCTGATGATGATGATGATGATGATGATGATGATGATGATGATGATGATGATGATGATGATGATATGATGATCATGATGATCATGATGATGATGATGATGATGATGATGAGGAGGAGGAAGAGGAGGAGGAGGGAGGATAGGAGGAAGAGAAGGAGAAGGAGGAGGAGGTGGACCGGATGAGGAGGAGGAGGAGGAGGAGGAGGAAGAGGAGCCGGAGGAGGAGGAGGAGGAGGATCGAGGGGGGAGGATTGAGGAGGAGGGGGGGAGAGGATCGAGGAGGAGGAGGAGGAGGAGGAGGAGGAGGAGGAGGAGGATCTAGGAGGGGGAGGAGGGAGGAGGGAGGAGGAGGAGGAGGAGGAGGAGGAGGAGGAGGAGGACAAGGAGGAGGAGGAGGAGGAGGACAAGGAGGACGAGGAGGAGGAGGAGGAGAAGGATCGAGGGGGGAGGATCGAGGAGGAGGAGGAGGAGGAGGAGAAGGCGGAGGATGAGAAGGAGGAGGCGGAAGAGGAGGAAGGAGGGAGGGGGCGTCCAGGAGGAGAGCGGCGAGAGGGGGATGGCGAGGAGGAGGGCGAGGGAGGAGGGTGTCGAGAAGGGGGGAGAATAGAGGAGGGGGAACCGGAAACCTCACTAGGCTCGTCTAAAACTACACGTGTCTCAGCATCCGAACGAATGTTGGGAGACGTGCCAGCAGGAATATGCTTGATCCAATCGGCTGCCTTTCGCAAACACCCATGGCGCAGAAGATTCAGCTGCGTCTGGGGGGGAGGGGGGGGCAGTTCCCTGATCTGGGCAGGACCTCGTATTCCGAGTCGCCCCTAGCGGGTAGAGGTCCAGCAATCCCACCAGCCCTCTGGGCGCACATTGTCTAGGGAGCTTTCTTTTCCAACCCGTGGTATAGGGAGCTTTCTCTTCCAACCCCCTTCTTCCCCTTCGGGGAGGGGTTTACCCCTCCCCCTTATCCCCCCCCCCTGGACTTGGACGGGGGGGGGGGGGAGGGGTTAGAGCGTCCAAGATGGCCCAACCCGGCTCCAAGAGGGCCTCAGAGAGCGCAGGATGGCCTCCAAAATGGCAGATAGCGCAAGATCGCTCAAGATGGCTTCCAAGACGCTCCAAGAGGCCCCCAGACCGGCTCAACACGGCTCCAAGTGCCCAGAGAGCTCCCCAAAAGACCAACATCCTTCAAAAACCTCTACGGAAAATCTATGTGTTTGGCTTTCTCGCCTTTTCGCTTCCGATGGCCATCCGAAGCGTCAAGATAGCTCCAAAATGGCCCAAGAGGGCCCCAAGAAGGGCCCAAGAGAGCTCCAGGACGGCCCCAAGAGCGTCCCAAAAGCGCCACACTTTAGAAGGGCAAGGCTACTTGAAGCTCCTCTCTGTGTGTATCGATGTCTTCAAGGATGGCTCCAAGAGCGCCCCGAGGCGCCCAAAGGACCTCCAAGAGGCTCCCAAGAGCCCCCAAGAGGCCTCAAGAGGATCCCCGAGGCACCCGAGACGCTCAGAGACGACCCTGGGACCACCAAGATGCCCACTCAACGCCCCAAGAGGCCTCAAAGAAGCTTCCAAACAACATCCAAGGAGACTCCGACATGAATTCAAGAGGCTTCTGGCTCTTCTGTTCGCCCTTTTCCTCCTCCTCCTCCTCCTCTTCCTCCTCCTCCTCCTCATCATCCTCCTCCTTCTACTCCTTCTCCTCCTGATCATTCGCATCCTCCTCCTCCTCCTCCTCCTCCTCCTCCTCCTCCTCCTCCTCCTCCTCCTTCTAGGGGACCACAGCTTCAAAATCGCAGTTGCCCCAGTCTTGCAGTGGTGTAGAATGATCTGGTTTGCGACGACACAGCCCTTGAGAGCACTAGCCAGTCGTGGAGAGCTGTTGCGTCTTTGGGATGCGGCGAGGCCTCTGGAGGCTGGTCCGTGGTGTGCCTCGAGGGGGCCTTTGGCTCGTGCGGTGCTAGTGCTCTCAAGGGCGGGTTGGGAGGCCAGGGGCCCACTTGAGTGGTACGATCACAATGGACTGCAGGTCCTAGTGGATCAGACCCCGCCCGCCCTCCTAGCCGAGCAGCTTGCGATGGGAATTCAACGATAACATGAGATGAAATTAGCCAGTAGTTTAGGTCATCCCCCTGGGCAAAGGGCCACCCTGGATCTGATTAGATCTCGTGTGGGGCCGAAGGCTCGGGGGTTAAGCAAGAAAGCCAAGTTTTTGATTCGGAGCTGTGCATGCAATGGAGTGTGGACCAATGAGAGAGGGTTCCGTGCGGGTTACACCACGGACGGTCGTTGTTCTTGCGGTCAGGTCGACACACTCCATCACAGACTCTATGAGTGCACCCGTGAGGACGTGGCCCGAGCTAGAGAAGAGGCTGAAGTCCCAAGGGAGTTCATAGAAGCGGCTCGTGCAGAGCCCGACCTGGAGATTTTCACCAGGGGCATTTTTGTTGATCCTGACAGCGAGCTGCCAAAACCTTTTGTTTCGTCGGAGGTCGAGATTTGTGACGTTTCTGGAAGCCCGCTGTCTTTGGAACCTGAAAGGATTTCTGAGTTGTCGGGGGAGGAGGCTTTAAGACTTGCCTCGGACGGCTCATGCTCGAAGCCTCCCATCCGCGCGCTCCAGCGAGCGTCGCGGGCCATCGCAGTGCTGCCTGCAAGCGGGGATCAGCCCGAGCCCGTTGCTGTAATGCGTGGCGTGGTCCACGGTACCTTCCCCCAGACGCCAGCGATGGCGGAGCATGTTGCCATTGCGCTGTGCAGTCAGGTGGCGAACAGGCGAACTGTCCTTGCTGCCGACTGCACGTCAGCCATACTGATTGCGCAGAGCAGTGTCGAAAAGCAGTTGCATGCATCTTCGAAGTTTGCGGGCATCAGGCTTTTCGCTCAGTCACTGGAAGGTACGAGTTTCATCGAACGAATTCGCCATGTTAAAGCACACCGTTCCAGTCAGGAGATCGAAGCTCTTGAAATGACGGAGCGTGAATATGCAGTTGCTAATGCCGTTGTGGATCACCATGCGAAGATGGCGTTGTCAGTTCATCCTTCTGCTGATCCTCTTTTCCTTCAGGCTGTGTCGCTCGCTGAGGAGCGCGTGAATCACTTCATCAAGCTCGCCTCTCTTGTGCATCCTTTATTCGAAGCGTCGCCGAGGTGGACGCGTGCCGCCCCGCGCCACAGGAACACATCCGCGGTGAGGCAGCAGTATCATGACTGGCACAACCATCCCACCCTCGGCCACCAGTGCAGGAGATGCCTTAAGTTGGGAGGAGATGACCAGTTGCAGTTGGAGTTGAACGGATACATAGGCGTCCCAGTCGGCATAAGAAGGCTTCAAAGGGACCCCATGGGACACATCGTCGTCACGGCTGGGATGCGGTGCGATCAACTGGCCTCCTCGGCGATGGTGAGAGTGAATGCCCCTGAGAAGCGGTGCTGGATTTGTATGCGTTGTGGAGCCTGGTCCCAGGGCCGTGCCGTCAAGCTGGCGAAACCCTGCATAAGGCCAGACGAGAAGCCCACTAAGAAAGGTCAGGAGGTTTTAAAGCGTTATTACCAGGGTAAGCCGCCGAACCGTCGAGTACGGGTGCTCTTGGGACGTAGCTTTGGCCTCCCCTCGCTCGCCTCCTCGGTCGAGTCGGCCCCCTCGGTGAGCATGCCTGACTTTACGGTGGTGCCAGTTGTTTTCTCGGCCTCCAGGGAAGTACCCACTTACGAGCAAAGAATGGCGGCCCTGTTGGACCGTATACGTGCGAAGGAAGCCAGACAAGCTGGCTAGTCACTCTGATTTGATCAGACCTTAGTGCTGTGCACTCCCCCTTTCGAGGGCATTCCATTCCATTCCATTCCATTCCCTCCTCCTCCTCCACCTCCGCCTCGCCCCGCCTCCGGCTCGCTTCCGCCTCTCCCCTCGCTCATCCCCCCCCCTCCTCTCCTCCCTCCCTCCGCCCTCCTCCCTCCTCCTCATCCTCCTCCTCCCCCTCCCCCTCCATCCTCCCTTCCCCTGCCTCTCCCCCTCCCCACCTCCTCCTCATCCTCGTGATTTTTTCCCGCTATCCTCCTCCTCCTTCCTCTTCGCCCTCCTCCTCTCCTCCTCCTCCTCCTCTCCTCCTCCTCCTCATCATCATCATCATCATCATCATCATCATCATCATCATCATCATCATCATCATCCATCATCTCCTTTTTCTTATCCTCATCCTCATCCTCATCCTCATCCGCATCCTCATCCTCTGCATCAGCATCAGCATCAGCATCAGCATCATCATCATCAGCATCAGCATCCTCCCCCTCCTCCTCATCATCATCACCACCACCACCACCACCAACCACCACCACCACCACCACCACCACCATCATCATCATCATCATAGGCAACATCAGCATCAGCACCAGCATCATCATCATCACCATCATCATCATCATCATCATCATCATCATCAGCATCATCATCAACAACATCATCATCGTCAGCATCATCATCACCATCAGCATCAGCATCATCATCCTCATCAGCATCAGCATCAGCATCATCATCATCATCATCCTCATCCTCATCCTCATCCTCATCCTCGTCATCATCATCAGCAGCAGGAGCATCATCATCATCATAATAATAATAATAATAATCATAAGCATCATCATCAACATCAGCATCATCATCATCATCTTCATCATCATCATCATCATCATCATCATCGTTGTCATCATCAGCAGCATCATCATATTAAGATCATAAGTATCATAATCATCATCAACATCAGCAGCAGCATCGTCATCATCATCAGCATTATCAGCAGCATCAGCATCGTCATCAACATCATCATCATTATCATCAGCATCATCATCGTCATCAGCATCATCAGCATCATCATATTGGTCATCATCATGAGCGTCATAATCAGCAGCATCAGCATCAGCATGGTCATCATCACCATCATCAGCATCATCATCAGCATCATCCTCATTCGTTTCCTCCTCCTCCTCATCTTCCTCTTCCTCCGATTCCTCCTCCTGATTCCCCCTCTTGGGGTACGACGGTTTCTCTATCCCTGTTTCCTTTGTATGATCCCCCACGCCCTTGATCAGGACAACTCGTCTGGGCATCGTCTCTGGATGGGCTGCCCTTGTCCTCCTCGTCCTCCTCCTCCTCCTGATCCGCCTATTCCTCCTCTTCCATCCTCCCTCCTGCCTCTCCTCCTCCTCCACCTCTTCATCCTCCTCCTCGCCCTCCTCCTCGTCCTCCTCCTCGTCCTCCTCCTCCTCCACCTCCTCCTTCTCCTCCTCCTCATCATCATCATCAGCATCATCATCATCATCATCATCATCATCAGCATCATCATCATCATCATCATCATCATCATTATCAGCATCAACATCGGCGTCGGCATCAGCATCAGCATCAGCATCATCATCATCATCATCAGCAGCAGGGCCTTTTCCGACCCACGTCGCCAAGAGAGATGATGTTATTTGTGAGGAGCAGCGCACGGCGGCGAACTCGCGGCTACAAGGCGAGCCACTGGACAGAAAGACGAGCCTCGCATCCAGCCAGAAAAAGCCACACTCAAGCTCGAAGGGGGAAGAAAAGGGTGGGCGGGAGAGCTTGAGCACAAGTGGCAGTGGCCATACGGCGACGCTCCCTACAGTGCCTGCTTCACGTACTGAATACACCCAGCAGGGCATCTTCCGACCCACGTCGCCAAGAGAGATGATGTTATTTGTGAGGAGCAGCGCACGGCGGCGAACTCGCGGCTACAAGGCGAGCCACTGGACAGAAAGACGAGCCTCGCATCCCGAACCCGAACGCGGACTTGGCCGAAGGCCGAAAAAAACTCAGGGCTATACCCCCATTCTGCGAGAGAGAGCCAGGGAACGTTTATTCTCACAAGTGCGAACGAGGATGGCGGCGGCGGCTCGGGTGAAGGCTGCCGGGCAAGCAGCAGCAATAGCGGTCCAGTGATTCCCGCCCGGCGCACGCCCGCTGAGTTCAAGGTGGGGCCGGAGCGTCCTGCTGCAAAAGCCGCGAGGGCCACCGCATTTCTTCGATAGCTCCCACAGCTCTCCGATGCCCCATGCCTGCACCCTGGTAGCTTTTCTCCAGGGTGCGCCAAACTGACACATGTGACATACTACAGAAGTGCTGCTCTTTAAATTCAGGAGCTTCTGAAAGCGAGGGGAGGACCACATGAGGCTGGTCTGCGGGTTCTCAATCATGACACCAATCCCGTATCTCAGGCATGCACGGATTACATGAAGGGAAAAGAGGAAAGACCGGTTCCCAATGTCAAGCTTGCTACACTGTTCAGGCGAGAGGTCGGGCCGGCCATCAGGGCATTGCTCAGTCCGCAGCGGGGCTCGGAGCGCGCGGGCCCAGGTACTGCACGGCGTGCCGAGCCACACGCCTGCGATGACCCCGCCGGAGATCCAGCCCAGGATCCTGTTGAGGAAGGCTGGCGTCAAATGATTCTCCAAGGGCGAAGCATTGATGTCCAGGCTAAGCGCGGCGCAGCCCATGGCCTGCGCGCTGGCCGCGACGCGGCCACAGCCCCCGAAGAGCTCCAGGAACAGCAGCGACCTGAGTCGCACGGCCCGGCCCAGGCTCGCCACGAGCCTCTTGCCCAAGTGGGCGCCGACGTCGCCGCCGTGGACCAGGTGGGCCACGTGGCCGGCCGCTTTCGCTTGCGGCCGGCGGCGGACGCGGCCCTGGCGCTCGGGCCCGAGAGCAGGAGGGCCCTCACACTCGCCGGGACCTGGTCGAAAAGCGGGCCAGCCAGCCCGTGCTCCACGAGCGCTGTGAACTGGGTCATCACGAAGTTCCCGAAGCTGAAGACGTCGCTGTGTACCTCCTGCAGCTCGCGAAGTAGGCGAGTGGCCTTGGTGTACCGGCGAAGGCTCGACGACGACACCCATCGGCCCCGAGCCCGCACTTGCTCCAGGCTTCGGCGACCGGCCAGGAGGTCGTCCGACGCCCCGCCGTGACGAAGCGAGTAGGGGTGTGGAGCAAGCTGCCCCAGCCCCAGCAGCTCCGCGGCGGCCTTGAAGGTCAGCCTGAACTCCGTCGCGTCGAAGTCCCACAGCGAGGCGTCCGCGTGAGTTGCCGCCTGGAGCCCTGCCAGCACAGGGAGGATCCAGCTGTCCTGGTCGATGAGCACCGCGTCGTCCGACGTGCCGGTCTTGGACGGCTGGCCGAGCTCGAAGTCGTGGAGTAGCAGCCCCCAACTCGAGTAGCTCGCCCCTGCCGCCAACACGGGGGCGACCAGGTGCCTCCCCAGCAGCGCGATCCCCTCCAGCGGCCTGAGATAGCAGATGAAGGTCAGCATGGTGTAAATGGCCATCCGGCGACGGCCGAGGCACAGCATCACCCCCGCGATCGCCGCCGCCCCGGTCTTTGGCATTGGCAGCCTCGAGCGCCCAGGAGCACGTCGCTTCCAGGCGCCGGCCGCTCGGCACGCGCGCGGCAGGCACAGCCCGCCGCGCCGGGCCAGGCCGGGGAAGACGCGCGAGAACGCCGCGATCAGCTGCGCCCCCAGGCCCGAGCACTTGCCGCCCAGGAACTGGTGATTCAGCAGCGCGGTGACGGCACTGTCCAGCGACCCCCAGCTGTCCCAGTCCAGGCGGTACATCCGGCAGAAGAGGACCAGCGTCGCCAAGCGGTCGTGGCACTGCCTCTGCGCGTTCGGGCGGATCGCCGCGGACTCGAGGACCGAGAGGCCGAAGGTCTGCACCGTCGAGGCCACCACGAGCTGGGCGTTCTGTGCCCGCTCGACAGCGGCCTGCGCCGCCGCTGGCCGCCGGCGCGGCCCCATGGGGCCGGGAAAGGTGCACGTGGTATGGAGTAGTGAAAAAACCGTGATCGCCTCGAGACGGATGGTCTGCAGGATTGAGTTCAGATGGTACCCAACGCACAACTATCTTACATCCCGTGGTCAACGATAGAGCAGCCATCTTCTGAAGTACATGCCGGAGATATCGAGAGTTCGCCCGCCCCTTGGTGGCCGCTAGGGCCAGTGGCAAGTTATCCACTATAAACAGGATCTTCTTCCCAAGAGCCCCAGTGTTCCTGAGCGCGTGCCGAATAGCCATACGGAGCGCCTCCCCATCCAGCTCTAGGATGTCGGTGGACCCCGCAACCTTCGAAGCGTGAACAACCTTCCAGGTGTCGGACTTCAGGAGGCCTAAGGGGACCTCGTCGAAAGCCACGGGGTTGTCGACCAGCAGGCTCTCGAGGGCCTTGTCGGGGTCACCAGTGGAGCCTACAGCCGCCTGATGAAGAGCACGCTCGCGGGCCCGCTGGGCCCCCTCAACCCGGAAGCGCCACCTCTCGCTGCATCGGCCGATCGACGATACTAGTGAAGTGGGAGCTTTTCGGACAGTGACGCCGAGACCGAACAGAGACGCATCAGAGGCGGCTACCTCTGGCCACCACCCTGCGCTGACGTCAACGCTGAGCAGCGGTAAGATACAGCGTGCTTGCCAGAGCTCGCGTCGCACCGATCTCCAAAGACGCGCCTGCCGAGACCCGATCCGCTCGGCAAACTGGTAACTGGCGCTGAGCAAAGAGAGGACTTCTCGTCGCATCAACCCCGCCCAAGTGAAATGTCCTACGATGACCCTGAGGGCGTCTCCAGAACAAATACCTCTTCTGAGCAGGGCGTCCAACCCGAAACGAAGTCTCCAAATGCTCCTGGCCTTGATCGAAAGATGTCGCCCTCTCTTCAGCTCTAGCCCTACGAAAGTGGCGTCCCGCGCGGCAGGCTCCTCATCGTGAGTGAGAAGCCCCTTCTCCGTCAACACGCGCGCGACGGCAAGGGCGGCCTGGTCGACGAGGGCCGGGGAGCGTCCCAGGGCGGCGTAGTTGTCGACGTAGCCGGCAACCGCCAAGGCGCCCTCCCGGTCGACCACGACCCCCGCCTTCCCGTCCTCGACGCACTGGTCCACGGTGAACCCCGCGGTGTCCATGGCGCGTCGGAGCACGCCCTGACAGAGGGCCAGCGCATGGCTCCAGCCCATCGGCAAGACGCACACGCAGGGCTGCACTCGCGCCCCTCGCGCGAGCGGGGCCCCGTCCAGGTGCGTGATCCCGAGCAGGCCGGCATCCAGGGCGGGTAGTCTGAAGTACGAGGACAGCCCGTCAGGCAGTCGTAGTCTGTAGAAGGCGCTGTCGATATCACCTGAGGCCAGGTAGGTGTCGTGCCCAGGGTTCTCGAAGGCAGCGAGGGCCGTCGCAGTCGGCAAAGCAGCCCGAGCTGGTCGACCGAAGAATAGGTTGGCATACCTCGTGTCAAATATCACTCTCAGCTTCTTGTTCTTCTTCGCAACGAAAAAGCAGCCGACGGTGGCCGCGTCACAGTCCCCCCTCAGCTCCACCATGCCGCGAGCCAACAACTTGGCGACAAAATCGGCGTAGAGCAGAGGCTTACTGAAGAGACTGGGGTCGAAAAAAGGTCCGTGAGGGCAGAACTCAGCACGTTCAGCAGCTGCAGGTCTATCTGGCCTGAGCAGGGTGCTCTGCCAGCGGCCCAGCCACTCAGATTCGGCCTCACCAAGGCAGGCGGCCAGTGGGACTGGCTGCAGGTCGGGCGAGGGCCAGGATATGGACTCCTTGACATACGGCCGTCGGGAGGAGAGATCACCCGTCTGGTAGATCCCCGTCCCAGCGAGGAGCTCACGTAGGGCTCCCTCGCGAAAACCTGCCTCAGGTGGGGGCTTGCCAAGTGCACGTACTCGAGACTCGACGTGGTCCACTGCGTGCCGCTGTCCGGCATTGGCGGGGACCGCCGGCCGGTCCTGGTGGCCGTACAAGTCGTTCAGGGCGTCGATACACTCGTCGCCCCAGTCGAGAATGTGCTTGGTAGCCGCACCACGCCGCCGAGTGACCCGTGATAGATCATGGCGGCCCGCCGCACCGGCATGGTCTCGGTGCAGAGGGGGCAGCGGAAAAATATCACGTTGGCGACCACTATGTCCCAGCGCGTCAAAAACCTCTCTGTTGATCGGACCGGCAGAGGCATCACGGTCCACAGGCGTCTCAGTCAGGGAGTCGCGCTGGCCGCCTGAACCAGGCGCGACCGAGGGGAACATCACCCCTCCTCCTCCCTCTTGTCCTTATTATTGTTGCCCTTCTTCGCGAGCTCCCTCTCCTCCCGCGCCTTGCGGCGCTCCTTCAGCAGCGCCTGCTCCTTGGCCAGCTGGGAGCTGGCCCACTCCTGGAGGAGCGGGCACACGCACACGCCTCCCCTCGTGAGCTCGCTGCCCATGAAGAGGTGCGTGTCCACGCTGTCGGGGCCGCCACTGGCCGAGCCGCCTGCACTCCTGTCCCGGTAGCGCTCCTGCTGCACCTGGATGGTGCGAGTGAGCAGCTCCGCGGCCGCCAGGTTGGCCCCGTTGCACTGGTCGAAGCAGAGCAGCTCCTCCAGCGCTCTGCAAGCCCGTTCGTGTTCCTGCACTCCAGGTTCGTGCTCCTGGAGACGAGCTTCGCTGCGCCACCGAGAGTGCATCCCTGTCGGGGTCCCGCCGTGGTCGACGATGTACCGGAGGACGCAGTGTGTAGTGCGGGGGCCGCGCACTGGCCACCCCTCCCACTGGTCCTCCCGGCACGCCAGCACCGCGTCGCGGAACTCCCGCCGCCGGTTGCCCACCATGTCGTAGACCACCGGGAGCGTCCGAGCGTCCTGGACGTGGCCGCCTGCGGGCACCGCAGCGGCGGGAACGCCCCCGAAGGCCGCGGGAGGCGGTGCAGCGGCTGCAGCCGCGCCTGCCGCGGCAAGCCAGGGCGCGCCGACGGCAGCACCGACGGGCGCTGCGCCGGCCCCTGGGGCCGCGGCGGCTGCGGCGCCGGCCGCAGCAGAAGCAGCAGCCGGCGGTGGAGCGGGGACAAGAACTCCAGCAGGCGCCCCCGCTGCTGGTCCGCCGAGCGCTGCCACAAGGCCGCCGAGCCCGGCCGCTGGGGCCACGCCTCCGAGGGCGGCGGCGGCGGCTGCCGCCGGCGGGCCTGGCACAGCGCCGGGCGGGGCGACAGCGCCTCCGGCCACGGGCGCACCTGGCAAGGCACCTCCCGCTGGCAGCTCGGCGATGCGCCCACCGAGGGCCGGCGCAACGGGCCCCACAGGTGCGGGCTGGCCAAGGCGGGCGGCCGCGGCCGTGGTCGACGCCGTGAGGCTCGCGGCGGTCGGCATCGCGCCAGCTCGGAAGCGGTAGTACCGAGCCCCGGGCCGACCCAGCAGGACGCCTCCCTGCTGCCGATTCGGCAGCGGCTCCCACTCGACGATGTCCGGCATGCTCCACACTTCTTCATATTCGTCACCGTCGGGGGTGGTGACCGAGACTGTCAGCCCAGCTCCAGGCGGCAGGTAGGTGACTAGCCGCTCGTGGTACAGATATGGGCCCCCGACGTTGTACCTCACCACACAGAAGTCGCCCACCTGCAGGTCGCGCGAGACCGTGAGCGGGTGGCCACCAGCAACAGCAGGCTGCATCATTGCGCCAACGCCTTCGACCGGTACTGAGCCACCTGAGCTCGGGCGGTCGCGTCCAGGTCCTCGGGGTTCAGCTCGGTCCTAGCCCTCACGCCTATCAAGCGGCCAGCGGAGAACGCCACGAAGGCCACGCAGGCACACGTGAGGGCCAGCGTGAAGGGGGTCAGCGGCGAGGTGTAGGCCACGTCGCCGGTCGAGCAGGTCAGGGGTGGGCAGTTCAGCACCGGTGAGCACTCGCAGTGCGGGCAAGTAGGCCGTCCAGCCCACACGACAAAGCCCGTCGAGACCCCCTCAGCGAATCGCCCGGCAATATGGCGGAGGGCGGCTTGCATGGAAAGGAATGGGGGGGGCCTGACTCAGAGCTTGAGCACAAGTGGCAGTGGCCATACGGCGACGCTCCCTACAGTGCCTGCTTCACGTACTGAATACACCCATCAGCATCGTGTTCATCATCATCAGCAGCAGCATCATCATCAGCATCCTTATCATCAGCATCATCAGCATATGCATCATCATCATAATCATCATCATCATCATCATCATCATCATCATCATCATCATCAGCAGCATCATCATCATCATCAACATCAACATCAGCATCATAATCATCATCATCATCAGCATCATCGTCATCATCATCATCATCCTCAACAGCGTCATCATCATAATCAGCATGGTCATCATCATCAGAATCATCAGCAGCATCATGATCATCGTCATCATAATCCTAATCAGCAGCATCATCAGCAGCATCAGCATTATCATTATCTTTCTCATCTTCCTCCCTGTCCGCACTCTCTTCCTTGTACCTCCTCCTCCGTCTCCTCCTCCTCCTCCTCCTCCTCCTCCTCCTCATCATCATCATCATCATCATCATCATCATCATCATCATCATCAGAATCATCATCATCGTCAGAATCATCATCAGATTCATAATCTGCATCATCATCAGCATCATCATCATCACCATCACCATCATCATCAGCATCAGCATCATCATCAACCTCCGCTTCCTCATCCATCCTCCCCCTCTTGAGGTATGACGGCTTCCCCAGCTCTTGATTCCATTGCACGCTCCTCCACATCCCTAACCAGGATAACTCGCCTGGGCTTCGTTTGTGGATGGGTTAGTGTGGTTACGCGGAGGCGTCTAGAATTCTGCGTTTTCATCTCGTCGTGGAGGCACGCCATGCGGTGCCTACTGCAGACCTTGCCTCTGCAAGTCGTCGTCGTTTTCCGGCGCGGGGGGGGGGGTCGAACGCCCCCCCCCGCTTTTCCTCTGACTTTCGAGGGGTGGGGGGGGTCCGTACTCCCCCCTGACTCCCTCCAAGCGTTCTCAGAAGACGCACTAACACCTGCTGCGCTCCACGTGCCCTCCCCGCCGATAAACACGAAGCCGAGCACGGAGCAACCGTGAAGCTTTCACCGCTATCTCAGGCCCCTCAACCACCACGGCAAGAATGCCCCGGATGTGGGCGGTCACCGCTGCGGGTGGAGTGGGATTGGCAAGGGGGGATGGGTACGTGGAGCGGGGGGAGGGGGGGGCCGGTGGCACGAGAGGAGTACGAGAGGAGTACGAGAGGAGTACGCGAGGAATAAAGGCGAGGGGGGGCACGAGAGGAGTAAAGGACGAGGGTGAGTGCAGCGAGGGAGGGCGAGGAAGGCGAGGGTGGTGGGGAGGGAGGGAGAAAGTGAGGAACGGGGGCCACAACTCAGGCCTCTGGCGGCCGAGCGGAGGAGGAGGGGGAGTAGGAGGACGACGACGAGCAGGAGGGGGACGACGAGGAGGAGGAGGAGGAGGACGAGGAGGAGGAGGAAGAGGACGACGAGGAGAAGCAGGAGGGGAACAGGAAGACGGAGAAAGGAGAGAGGGAGAGGAAAAGCTAGGCTCGCTCGCGCCATTTCTGCCATCCTACCCCTCCCCCATCCATCACTTTCTCCATGCCGCCGACGGGTGTCATAGCGGACCTGGAATCCCCAAAAGGACGCCATCGCAATCAGAACAAAAACTGTGCACCCTCGAGGAAAGGGGGGAGGAAGAGGACGATGACGACGACGACGACGACGACGACGACGACGACGACGACGACGACGACGACGAGCTGGCTGATAAGCACGAGGAAGGGGGAGGAGGAGGAGGAGGAGGAGGAGGAGGAGGAGGAGGAGGAGGAGGAGAGGAGGAGGAGGAGGAAAAGAGGAGAGGAGGAGGAGGGGAGAAGGAGGAGAGAAAAGGAGGAGGAGGAGGAGGAGGAGGAGGAGGAGAGGAGGAGGAGGAGGAGGCTGAAGGAGGAGGACGAAGAGGAAAAGCAGCAGCAGCAGCAGCAGCAGCAGCAGCAGCAGCAGCATAAGGAGGAGCGGGAGAAGCAGAAGGACCAGGGGAAGGCGGAGGGAGAAGGGGCGGGGCGACAACGATAGGTAAGCACTCGGATCCCGAAAAGTGGCCCGCGCTGGGGCGGTTCTGAACGACGGGCGCAGAACGCCGATCCTAGAATGAGGCCTGCACGGCAGCGGGGTCACCACCACCGAAAACGAGCCAATAGGGAAGATATACCACACAACACACACACACAACGAAGTGAAAACTAAAAATAAAAATAAACATGTTTCCCAAATCTGGCAACAAGTATACGGAGGGGACGCGACACGTCCAGGACGTAGTCGAGTCGGGGGAGACAAGAGAATCGTCGTCGGACTGCGTAGTTGTGGCGGTGGTGGCGCAGGGGGAAGGAGGGGGGGAGGAGAGGGGGGGGAAGAGAGAGAGAGAGAGAGAGAGACGAAGAGGATGGGGGGGAGGGAGGGCGAGGGGGGGAGAATGGAGAGGGGGGGAAGGGAGGGCGAGGGGGGGGGAGGGGAGCGGGAGAAGGAGCGGGGCAGCGAGGGCGGTCGGACCAGCAGCCCCTTCATTGGTCGGCCGCGGGGCGCCGCGCGCCGCCCCCCCGAGCCATCTGCGACGGCTGCGGCGGGGGCGCGCGCGCCGCGCACCCTGAGCCGCCCCGCCCCATGGGGCCGTTCGCGTCCTCGTCCTCCTCGTCGTCGTGGTCGTCCTCCTCGTCATCTTCGTCGTCCTCGTCCTCGTCTTCGTCCTCGTCCTCGTCCTCCGTCCCTCCCTCCCTCCCTCCTCCCTCCCCCCTCATCCTCCTCTCCTCCTCCCCCTCCCCCCTCCTCCCCTCTCCTCCCCCTCCTCCTCCTCCTCCTCCCTCCTCCCTCCTCCTCCTCCTCCTCTCCTCCTCCTCCTTCCTCCTTGTGCTCTTCCTTCTCCGCCTCCTCCTCCTCCTCCTCCTCCTTCTCCTCCTCCTCCTCCTCCATGTCTTTTCGTAATGAATAACCCCATCCTGCCGCACCCTGAAGCCGGTCGAAAAGGCGGGCGGGCGTTTCACCTGAGACGCTGTGGTATACGTGACAATGAAGCGTCAAAACTGGCAACAGCATCGCCGGTGGAGGGTAATTGGTTTTCTAATGTGATTCTCGCGCTAGCGCCGCGCACATTCGCTTCAAAAGTTGCAAGAATTTCACGGGTTGGGAGCGGGTGGTTTTCAGAATGTGGCTCTCGCCTGAGCGCCACGCACATTCGCTTATTAAATGTGCAAGAACTTCACGGATTGAGGGCGGGTGACTTTCAAAATGTGGTTTTCGCCGTAGCGACGCGCATATTCGTTTATTACTTTTGCAAGCGCTTCACAGATTGAGAGCGGGTGGTTTCAAAATCATGCGTTCTCTCTAGCGCCGTGAACCTTCGTTCATGAATTTGCATCAGCTACACGGATTGAGGGCGGTGCGATTTCGCCACGCACTTTCGCTGCAAAGTCTCGCAAAAGTTTCACGGATTTTCACGGAGACTAACGTACCAGAGTTGGCGTGTTGGAACGATTCAAAATTCCAGGGCGCAACAGTTACGTTGATTCGCGGCGCTGGAGTCCCAGGAACGGTGTTCAGGCAAGAGTCAGGATCTCCAAAACGCAACAGTCAGGTTAACTCGTGGCCCAGATGTCCTGGTAGTGGTGTTTTGGCATGCTTCAGGATTTTCAAACGGCTGCCCCCCAACGGTGTAATTCCCTCAGAGGAAATGTATTACTATGGGGTCCTATGGAGAGGGAGCTTGGAGGGAGGGTGTATTGCAACATCGTTGATGAATATTGTGTTTACACTTGTCCTGTTCCTCCTCTTCCTCCTCTTCCTCCTCCTCCTCCTCCTCCTTCTCCTCCTCTTCCTGTTTTTCCTGCTCCTGCTCCTCCTCGTGCTCCTCCTGTTCCTCCTCTACATCCTCCTCGTTCGCTGTGTCCTGCGAGCTCCGTCTCGCGACCCGGGTGGATCGTGGCCTGCAGGCCGCCCTCAAACAGCGCTCGCACTCTCAGGCACGGCCAAGCCCCTCAGGCCACCCCCCTCACTCCTCACACCGACGACGCCGACGACGATGCAGGCGAGCAGGAAGGGGGGGGGCACTTTTCCACCATGGCCGATGGAGCCTGGCGGGCTCCGCCGCCGGGCGCGGGCTCCGCGGCCTGACAATCTCGCCATGGCCACTGACCCCCCCCAGGGGGGGGGCCACCAGCACAGCGTGCCGACCGCGATGCGGCAAGCGCGTGCAAGCTGCGCTGTGGGAGCCTGACGAGCAAGCTCGGCTGGCTCCCACACCGCCTCGTTACTCTGGCGCGGGCGGGTGGGAACCCGAAAATACCTCGGCCTCTGAAGAGGCCGCGGGCGAGACGATTGCGGAAGAGGGAGAGGAGAGACAGGAGAGCCAAAAAGAGACTGCCCACGCGTGCGAAACCCTCAGTTGCACCCTGTCGCGCACAGGCTGCCGCAGGTGGCGCAGCGCTGCTGGCCCGCGCCGGCCCCGTCTGCAGCGCCAGGGGGGGACCGGCCAAGGGGCCCAGCCTTCGGGGTAGCGATGACGCTCGTCGGCCTCGACGCCCTGGTTCCCAGCGCCGCCGCGCGCCGCCGGCGGCGCCCAGCGCGCGCCCCCCGCACGGCGAGGGCGCCCAGGCCGCTTGGCCTCGAGGCCAAAGATGCCCTCTTCGCACCACGCTGCCAAGGCGGCTCCGCGAGCGCCGCAGGGCACCACCGGCGGGGCGAAGGCCCAGCCGCGCGCGTCGCAGCCTGGCGCGGCGCAGCGCCAGGGCCACCGGTCCCAAGCCAGGACGCGCACCTGCGTCTCAGCGTGGAAACCGCACTCCTGGGGAACACGTTCCCACGCAATCTCGAAATCGCGGCCGCTCCCGCAGGCGCAGCGGCAAGCGCGTTCCGCTCGGCCGCAGAGGGGCTCGTTGCAAATCTGCCCCGCGCGCGGCCC